TTAGGTATCAGAACGAGTTTAAAGGCAGATATCCAATGTTCCGCCGCTGAACTTGTATACGGCACGACATTGCGTCTGCCCGGGGAATTCTTCACACCACGGAGCAGACCTAATTTCGCTAAATCAGACTACGTCCAACGACTGTCTGCATTTATGCGAACGCTGCCTCCGGTGTCAACTCGAATACAACATCGACAGGTCGCTCTCCCTCGAGAGTTATCTACCTGTTCACATGTTTTCATACGAGTAGATTCGGTACGCAAACCTTTGCAACAACCTTACGAAGGCCCTTTTCGCGTGATCGCTCGTCACGAAAAGACCTTCAAGGTTGATCGACACGGCCGCGTCGAGATCGTCAGCATTGATCGTCTCAAACCAGCACACGTCGATGACAGTGCCCTATCTGATAACCTGAGATTCAATGCTAGACCAAGCAAACCTACTAGCGGGATCCTCAAACCATCTTCAGGTCCCACGCTAGATGCACCTGAGACCTCACTCTCACGTCCCAGTCAACAGCACGCGTCATCTGCACCGTCTACGGACGAGACGACAGTCTCACGTCCAGATCAGCAGACCACGCCGCCCTTGACTTCGGATGAGATTGCAGGCTCACGCGACGCGAACGAGACTGCCGTCTCACGTTCCGGTCGCCGAGTACGTTTACCCGTACGCTTCCTCGACTAGTCGCACAATCAACAACCGATACGGTGTAGGGTTATTCCTATACTACACGCATGCTACACTCTTCTCTTTTTTGATTTTCTTTTTGTTTCCTGAGCCCACGCCTTCGACCATCTCCGTTTGGTTCCGTCGACTTCAGTCAACTTTGGCGAAAGCTGGCCTGATCACCCACGCTCTTGTCAACGTACTCAGTCGATATCTTCGTTTCGAATGTTTGGCACACGCTTGGTCTCGAACTTGGTCGTTATGGTCGCTTCTGGTTCATCGGATCAACGTGGTTTCGTCCTACGTCTGCAGCGTTTCTGGTCCGGACCCCTACGAACGCCATCTTCAGATTCTGGATACAAACCACTCTGGTGTAGCATGCCAACTCAAACAATAAATACAACACATCGCTCCTGGTACCGTTCTCCGAAAACGACCTACGTTGGCAACTCGACGATCAACGATCGCTTTCCTGTTCGCCAATTCTTCCGTCCTACAATCGCTCGTCAGCCGATCAGTCCCACGATTCAAACCGCTATTTATCGAAAGTGTAAACCCTTTCTAGCGGGGGGCTCCTGTAGTGACTCACATTTATCACGAGAACACGACTGGTTTAATAAAAACAATTATTATTATAACCAACTGTACCAGTGTTTGTTTTAATGTGCTTTTGTTTAACTGTGCTAATTATAGCCATTTTGTGCTTCCATTACCTTCCATCATTGTTCCGCGGTTTTTGGTACTGTTCGCACGTACTCCTGTCTTCTGCTTCCACTTGTACCACTTCTTGGCACGATCTCGGTATTCGTTCAATACCACGAGATCGCCAACGAAATAAATCTGGTTACACTCGATCCTCGCCTTCTGATTTATCTGGCACGTGTTTCTGGGTAGCGGTGTTCACAGTTAATCTCAACTCGACGCCACGCTACAAATGGAAACGAAGTCTAAATGAGCATCCAAACGAGTAGGAAAATCTGCTACATTTTGGTGACCTAGTGACGTAAGGAAGCTACAGTCACATGAATTGAAATCACCACATACAACTGAAAGTGAAACACTGAAGGCAGTAACAGCGAACTCAGTGAATTCATCAGCGAAAACAGATAGTGCAGATGATGTGCATTCTGGAGTCACATAGATATTGGTAACATAAACATATTTGTATTTATTCAGATGTTTTGGACATCTTAGAGTTAGACAGTCGATAAAGTCATTTGAAAACTTAAAACACATAAACGAAGATCGACACCAGTTTACGTTTACAAACGTAGCTACACCGCCACCACACCTCTTTTTATTGTTTGATCGATCCTGATGACAAATTTTGAAGTCACGTAGTGATACTAGGCAGTCATCCTGTAAATCATTTAACCAAGATTCTTGAATTGTGATGACACCACAATTACGATACATATTTTGACTTAGTAGGAATTGCGGTGAAACTCTATTTTATGGACGACCTTTGAACGTATTTTTAAGTGACCTTGAGAACATTAGCCAATCAGGAGAGAGTTAGTATTAAGTACAAATATATTATAAAAAACTGATGAATTACAATGGATATTCTTCTTTTACATGATTTAAGAACTTGTTGAGGTTTGATAAAGGTTTAGAAGTTTTGAAATCATAGTGCATGCGGTATAAGAACTCGTCCATATGGCTCCATACTAATCGTCCTCTGGAGGGTCTTAAAAAATACTTCAGCCTAGAGCACATGCCCTCAATGTTGTTTGTATGGACCCCCCTCGTTGGATCAACAAAATGACGTTTGCGCACCACAACATGATGCACAAAACCAATTCTCGAGAGGCATCTATACGCTTTCCAATCATCGGTATAGATCGTCGTGCCAGGCTGAACGTACTCCTTGATGATTGGTATGATTGTCGTTACGTGACGGTTTCTTACTCTTTGAAAATGTCCTTTTTCAGTTGAACGATCGTAAAACCCAAGTACCTGTCAAGTATATTCACGGAAGTGCTACTTACCCAATCTTCTTTGATAAAACGTCCTTTATTGTATTTTCGCTTTCTAACTACCGCCTCATTTATTTCCACTATCTTTCCAACTCCTCCAAATGATTCATGTACTCGTATCATTTTCATTGTGCATATATCACGACAATATTCATACCATTGAACGGCGGAAACTTCCGTAACATCTGCAAAAGCCGCAGCTAATGTTACTGGAGACTTTATGATCCAATTTGCAACGATTATCATGATTTGTCTTAGCCTTAGCCGTGACCGGGCAAAAAAAGTGCCAGTTCGAGCAGATTTTTTTCTCCAACATATATTACAACGAAATACAATGTCATCACGGTAGTCTGCACATCGTGCTGCAGTCACAGACACAGGAACTTCTTAATAGTCCCATCTGCTGTAGTCTCTCAACGATCACCTTTTCTCTAAAATCTGCTATAAAACGATCGAATGTGAGCATCTCGCATTGAACTTAGCGCCGTGACCTTGAAACTCCTTGAACGCTTCTGATTGGCTCGTCCATAAATTAGAGTCCTACCGGAATTGCAGATAGTCCATTTTGTTGATTAGTGATCGGCAGTTAGAATTTAGCAGCTCGGGAATCGACATATGATTAATATTCATTCTCCTTAATGCATATTGCCAACCACCACGATGTCTTTTATAATACTTTTTTGTAACCTGTGCAGCGAAAGGTCGTAGGCTTTTCATAAAAGTGTCTGAATAGGTTATGCGATTAATGGACATAATGATAAGTTAAAACAAACGAAAAAACAGATAACTTGTTGAAATAATCAGATGGCAGAAACAGGTAGCCCAGATATTCAAGCAGACTGTCATGTATTATCAGTCTATGATGTGTGACATTTCTTTGAGCAACAACAATAGTATTATCGTTAAATACCTAAATAAATTTATTGTCAAAATCTCCCTGATTAATACATTACAACCAAACAGTGTTTATAGTAACTTTAATAGATAAATCAATATATATTCAGTAAAATTCAAGCGATGGAAACGAGTATGTATGCAAGAGAAAAGTCGGTGTTTATAGTTTACTTAGGACAGTTAATTTTATTGTCCATTTAAAAGGATAAATCAATGAATAGAATTATTTTGTATTAATTTCATGTTTTAAAGATACAAATATGTTTTTCGGTTAGATGAAAAACTTGTAGAAAAAAAAGAGAGGGAATACAAATCAGAAATATTTTTAATTGAAAAGAAGTAAATTACAGTCTAATAAATAGAAACAAAAAGAAGTTCGTTCTCATTCATCAATTGAATAGATTATGATAATTAAAAAAAAAGTGAATAAATTTAAACAAAGTTATAATCAAACGACTTAGTTTTATGTTAATTGATCACCTGAGGTTATCCTTAATGTTTCTAGTGTTTCTTGAGTATTTTCAATCATTTCCTCATTTATTCAGTAAATGACTGATAGATATTAGGCGATAATTTTCATCAAAGATTTCATTTCAAGCATGTTGAGTTATCTGAAACTGTCTGGTATGAACATGTCGTCTAATGTAGAACTGACCAGTATGTCGGATGAAATCTTTAATGAAAATTACACTCTATTATTCAGTAATCACTTATTAAGGTAACGGAAAATAATAGATTTTGCTGTTGAACACAATACACTAGTTGAACGTTGGAAACATTCTAGATAAACTCAGTCTAATTGATCGTATAGGATTTATTATAAAATCAAATTTTAGTGTTAGCGTTAACGTTTAAGAAAAGTCATTCACATTGAAATTAAAAAAGTATTCGATGGATTTTCAACAAGAACTGACATTATCTAGAGATTAATTAAAAGATAGCAACTATTAAACAGTTATACAGTCAAATATTTTGTCTGTATCACATAAACTTTGTTATTCATGATATGAAGATGAATTTGAGGATCATAAGATAAGTAAATTGGTTAACTCTTTCACAAGCTCTTCTTTCTATTGTAAAATCATGCATCAATAAACGGCAGTGTCGGAACAATAGTTTGGATTTATAGGGAAGAATTATATAAAAATTATGACTGAAGTAACTTCATTTTATTATTGTACATACTTAACGGGACCATCTTATTTGAGCACTACATATTGACTAAATGTTCACATCGGTAAGAAATTTAGTATTTTATTTAAACGTCTATATTTAGCTTTAATGTCAAGCCACTTCGTCTTTTATTTCAGAGTTATATTGAAAATATAATCGTGAATGTGCTTTTAAAAAGTTGGATAATCTACTCAAGAAAATGCACATTAAAGAATCAGGGCCTTTCTCTGCATTTTGGATGCATTTGTTTAATATTCTCGGTATAATATTATAATATAATCTTACCTCTTTTCTCCTAGTTACCACATCTTGGTGTTCATAGATATTATCATCAGGTATTTCATAAATAAAAACATGAGCATGAAGAAAAGTGAATAATGTGACAGAGAGGAGCCAAAGACCAGAGCTTAAACACCCAACCCCGATCGATAATATATCTCTATGGTGAATACAAAAAAAGTTGAATAAAAATCATAACATTACATTTGGTTAGTTAATAAAGGTTTTACACAATACATTATTACAATTAAATAATCTAAAACTTTATTCTCTTTACAATGTGTTCTAAATATTATCACCTGTCACTGAAGGGTTCCAAACAAAGGAGATAGTTATATGAGTGATGGTAACTGTTGTGTTCCTTGACCGCTCACTACACTTTTACCTAACATACTATGTGAGAGAATTCTGAGAAATAAACAGGAGTTTGTAACTGGCAAACCGGATAATGTATAGGAATCATAGGTATAAGTGCATCTATCCTTCGGATCTAAAAAAGAATATGTAGGCTTTATGAAATAGCGTGGGTTGTTTATCATCTTACTTACCGTTTGGATTTCAAATGGCATATAGACACAGTCTCATGAAATGTCTGGACACATTCGGTCAATCAGCAATGAGTTCAATCACTGAATTAGGTAGGTTATGCTCAATTATGATGATTATGATTAACGGGGAAAGTCCAGCTCATAACGGAATCTTACCAGCTATCAAAAGAATATATGTATTTAAAACTCTACTTTCGCTTATCAAATAAATTGTAGTGTATTTAAAAAAGCATGTTCGATTGGAGTACTATTCGGTAAACATTTTACTATCATCTCACAGTAATACTCAGATATAAAATGATAATATCTCTCATAGTTATATTCAATGTCAGTAAACATATGGTCATGATATTATTGAGACAACTTAACCAGGAATTTTAACATTAATTTTCATTTACTGGAATTTAAAAAATGTCTGCTGTTAAATTACGATCTACAGTAAAGACATGCATTACTAATGAAATAGTGAGATTATATTCAGTAGCTAATGAGCCTTTGTGGCAGATAGCTTGCATCTTATTAAAAGTGAAGTAAAACTTACTAATATTGAACTGTTAACACATTTAGGGTTGATAATAGATGAGAAGAATAAGGTTACTGACCATAATTTGGGAATTCTTAGATATAACTCAAAGGCCCTTACTAACAATCTAAATATTTCAAAAATGTGTATCTATAACAACAATGTCAAAGTGTTCATTCAATAAGTGCATACCTCAAAGGAGACTGACCAAATGCAATCGATTATATTAACGGCAGGGAATTACAATTCTTTTTTAATATATGAGATCATGAGTCAATTGAAGTTAGACCACCATGGAAAACCTGGAAGCACTGAACGGCCGTTTTGTCCTATTGCGGGACTCCTCAGCAGTGCGCATCCACGATCCCGCCTTGCGAGATTCGAACCCAGGACCTATCAGCCTCGCGCGTGAGTGCTTAACCTCTAGACCACTGAGCCAGCATCCAACGGTGTTAATGTCTAATTTCAACTAATTCCATGATGGTCTAGCTTCAATTGACTTATGATCTCAAATATTAAAACTACTATAATATCCACAAAACCCCTTCTGATGCAATTCTTTTTCCTAAGATATATTTCCAGTAAAGGTGAATTGGAATCATCAACGAAATCGAAACCAATCGTCATCTGCACATAACCTAGCTAGATGGCTAATAAAATTGCTGGATCCTATCTGAAGACGTTCATGTATTCTCAAGTTCAATTATTCTCTGAAGGATTCTTTTGAACTAGTCGATCATTTAGGTGATATTGATATCAAGAGAAATACAATATGTTCAATTGATGTGAACTCCTTGTTCACAAATGTACTTTAGAAAAAGACTATTGATATACTATGTAACTACATGTCTTTGGACAACCCTAAATTACCAGTTCCTTTAAAAATTCTTAAAGATTTACTACTTTTATGTACTAACAAAGTCCAGTTCACATTTGAAGGTGAGTACTATTGTCAGACAGATGGGGTTACTATGGGTAGTCCATTAGGATCATTATTAGCAGATGTTTTCATGACACATGTTGCAAATCTAGCTGAAGACCTCATCGAAAACATGTCTCTTTATATGAGATATATGAATGATCTCTTAGTTATCTATGAAAGGAAGATATGAATTGTTTATTGAATAAACTTAACACTTCAGGACCACACCAGAGGAGAAGAACGACCAACTTCCTTTCTTATATGTACTTCTAAGTAGACGAGAAGACAATTCAGTCAAACGATCCATTTTTAGAAAACCAACTTGGACAGGCCAATACCTTAGTTACTATAGTTACTGCCCAGTGCAGTACAGACGGGGTTTGTTAAGGTGTCTATTTAGCAGACTTGATAGTATTTGTAAAAATGACGCCATTGATGATGATGTTAGGTTGCCAAGTCAAGCATTAAAAGAAAATGGGTATGCTCTTAAATGCATAAATAGATGGAAAGCCCATAGTACAGTGAGACCTACTATAGCCTTGGCACAAAAATCTTGTCTACATCACCTCACCGTTTAGAGGTGATTAAAATGTATTTTATTGAAACAAAGGCTTAAATCTAAATAAGAACTTTCGTCTAAATTTGAACGAATAGCTTCACAATATTTGAGCGCCGAGTCAATGTGAGTCATTAAAGAGGAATAATATATATTTGTAAAATCTCAGCGAAAGAATTTGAAGTAATTCCAACGTTTCGCCTGGCAATCTGGTCCAAGCTTTTTCAAGGAAAATATAATCAAACAACAAAATTATATTTTCTTTGAAAAGGCTTGGGCCAGATTGCTAGGCGAAATGTTGGAATTACTTCAAATTCTTTCGCTGAGATTTTACAAATATATATTATTCCTCTTTATAGGCCTAAATCATTTATTATTATTATTATTATTATTATTATTATTATTATTATTATTATTATTATTAAGCTTTATTCAATATTATATTTTTGGTACAATATAGAATTCTCAGAGCAAAGTATTTCAACAAGTTTCCATTTCTTTCTTCTTAGTCGTTCCTGGCGATAAATATTGAGTGATCGCCAGTTAGATGTTAGCAGTTCAGTAAATGAACATCTGAATAATGTGCATTCTTTTCGCTGTATATTGCCAGCAACCACATTGGCTCTTATTGAGTTTTTTGTAACTTTGACAACGAAATGTTGTACACTTTTCAGAAACGCAGCAGAATAGATCATGCGATTAATAAACATAATGATATATTAAAACAAACAAAAATAGATAACTTGTTGAAATATCTGGATGGCAGAAACAGGTAGCCCAGATGCTCAAGCAGGCCGCCCTTGTTGTGCTATGCAGCAAAGGTCATTAACAAAGTAAAAACAAACCCTGATTCACCAAAAACCTAAAAGATATGAAAACGGTTACGTCACACCTCACTGTGTTTATCAATTCATATGTGTATGTGTGTGGTCACACATACAAAGAGAAGAGTAACCATGATCTCCATATTAGGATATCTGAACAAATAAAATCAAATGACCCAATAGGAATAGAAGATCATAAACATTCATCATCCTCTGTTGCCAAACCCAGTTGAAACAGATCATATGACTGATCTTAACACGGCTTTTGTGGTGTTGTACAAAAGTGTACAAGGGCACATACTAAGATTTATTGAAACCTTAGCTATACGAAAATTCAAACTTCCTTCATATATTCAAAAACAGTTTGTTCTCACCTTCAACCTACCCTGGTAATATTAGCTTATTATCCAGAGTGATGAGGTTTCAAATTGTTTTTCATACTGTTTTCTTTATTATCTTTGTTTCCTCTTACCCTCCATTTCTAGTCTAGTTGACAAATGTTCTTAACAAGTATATTGTGTGTGATCAGATTGTTCGAAATGTATTGGGCTAATATATCATCACATAGTTCTGATAATCTTCGTCTTCTTATTATTACGCTATCGAAATTTATCAAACGGACTAATTGTTTCAAACTACATTTTGTGTAAAAAAATTTGTTCAACCTACTGATCTTTTACTTTATTCTAAAATCTCATTAACACGTCTCAGTTTCGTGTTTAATTATCATGGAAGTACATTAAAGTTCACGTCATCAATTAAACACTGGCAGACGATTGCAATTTTAAACTCTGTATATTATTTGCCTTAAAAAAATTAAATTTGGATAATTATTTGCCATTTCCCATTCACATTAACCGTACATATTTTCCCTTGTGTTTTCCTGGTAAAAAGCTTCTTGACTTTATCCAAACTTAGCTGTTGTTACAGATGAATATGTGTGTGTCTTTGATCACTGGGAAATCGTTCATTACACATCGACAAAAGATTGAACAACTTATTTAAATTAGTTCCATGTTCATAACAAATGTAAATTTGTATTATTTCTTGTATATATTGCATTTTCTGTATTACTTTTGTATCGACTTGCCTCATAAAGCACGTAACTGAGTTTTATTAACATCATTGTTATTTAAAACTGGCGGTAAAAACTGAAATGAAGTAAAGAAATTAGCGAATACCTCATATTCATAAATTGGTTGGTATTGGGATACAATATAGTACACATTACAATGTGCAGTAGCATGACAGGGAGAGAGGTTTGGAAGATAGTATGAGTATGTATATATGTATAAGACCATGTATGTATGTGAGAGGGAGTATAAAAGAGGTAAATTCAGAGAAACATGTAAGATTTATTCATTTTTTTAACGAATATATAGAATCATCGGCATTTCTAGCTTAGTTTGAACTACTTATGTGTTTATACAACGGATCCCATAATTTTTTGTTTAGTCACAGACACAAATTATTTTTCCCATTGAAGATGTATATGTAAAGAAATGACAAAAATAGCCAAAAAAGTAACTGAATACCACGGAAGAATTTTAAAATTTATGACCATTTGTTTTTTTTAAGGTCTAGGTTTAGTTAATGGTAAGAGAGAGGATAGATAGGAAATTACTATATTCCTAGACGATTCAATGGCGAGAGTAAAATACTAGGTTTACTAATAATCCGTACACGCAATGTCTTGGAAATGGTATGCACACAGAAACTCACATGGAATCAAACTCGGGAGATTTCTCAGGAACGCAGAAAGAGAGCACAGTACTTTTAGATTATTG